ATAAATATATATATGTATGTATGTATATATATATATATATATGTATGTATATATATATTATATATATATGTATAAACATAAGTCACAAATGACTGTGTCTTTTTTTTTAAATAGTAATAAAACAAATACTACTGGAATCCTCTCTATGTACATATGTACTCTAGAGTAGTGTTCAATTTTATTTTTTTAGACACGTACTGTATAAAGTGTAAACATTCTACATAGCGTCATAGCCTTCTAAAATCTAAATTTTAAATACTAAATACATACATATTTACCCAGACTCCAGAGTCAGACTCAAGAGACAAGTTGAAATTCCAAGTTCCTATTTCCTAGTATTTTTAATTTTACCTGAGCTGAGTGCTTGAGCTCCTGAGTGAGCTTACGAGGCGTACTGTCATTGAGCATTGAGCACATGAAATGAGCATATTCTCTGAGAGAACAGCTCCCGCTCTCAGGACACTTTACACTCTACACTCTACACTCTACACTCTACACTCTACACTCTACACTCTACACTCTACACTCTACACTCTACACTCTACACTCTACACTCTACACTCTACACTCTACACTCTACACTCTACACTCTACACTCTACACTCTACACTCTACACTCTACACTCTACACTCTACACTCTACACTCTACACTCTACACTTTCTACACTATACACTACACTACAGTCTACAGGTCTACAGGTCTACAGGTCTACAGTCTACACTCAACACTCTCACTCTCACAGTCTACAGTCTACAGTCTACACTCTACACTACACTCTTACACTCTACTACACTCACAACAAGAAGTACGGGTAAATTATAGAAAACATTTGTCATTTTGATTCGCCACAAATATTGAATTCTGATTCCCGATGAATGATTGAAGTCAGAATTTAGAATTTCTCTGGTTGCAGATTTCTCTAAATATATATTTCAAGGTGAAATTCTTTCTGTGCTCTAATTCACTTCGACAAATTCCAAGCAAATTATGTAGAATATTTTGAAAAAGTATTTGCGGCCTCTCGAAAGAATGTCACATAAGTGAGATAACTGAGATGAAATTGAAAAGTGAAAATCCCACCGTCCCAAGTCCCAAGTCCCAAGTCCCGATGTCCTATCCTTAGCCCATTTTGGCCCCAAAATTTCCTTCGGACAATAGTCCGATCACGCATATTATTTTATTTCTTCTTTCTAGAGTAGAGGGACATGCAAAATTCTCCCAATACACCGATGCTTGGTAATTACGTGCAATCGTGGATGGACGACTTCCCAGGGGAATACGGATACCGGCGACTATGTCTAATATTTTAGGTGTAGGACTCATTGGGTGCATTGGCGCTGGAACTTCATAAACTGTAAATTTGTACTTCGAATGCAACTGCGTGAATACAAAATAGAGAGTTATAATACGGAATTACGGATATATTCATTATAGATGCTCGCAATCAAATTTAAAATAAAGTGTGGTGCCGCAATAATGAATCTGCAGTGAATTATGGAATTGATTTGAAGATGACTTAGAAATTCAGAAGGCTTTGTTCAAAGACTTCATGTTTCAAAACAATTTATTGTCAAAAAATGGCTGTCGTGGTCCCAAGTTATAAAAAATCACAAACGCGCCAGTATAGATATATTGGCCACTCGCATCGCACAACCCAGCACAATAAAGAAAGTCTATTCTTATGTAATTATAATAGTTATCCGAGTACTTGTCCGCAAGGCATCTCGGTATATTAACGTCAGTACAAACAACACGTCGCTCACAGCATAATAAACACCACGAAGAGCATAAACCACTTGGAGCTTTCAAAGTATTTTACCTTTCATATATCACGTTTGCAAATATAGCAGCGTAGCGCAAATCATCAATCATGCCAGGTCTCGATCGAGTATGCTTGTTGTTGGCAACCTTAGTAGTTGTCGCGTACAATCCCGCTCAAGGTACTGCAGACTGTACTGTAAACGGTATAAATTTAGTTAATTATGACGATTTATGCATGTGTCATTCGTCATGGGGAGGAGCGACCTGTTTAACTCAACACACTACGCCTGAAAACTGTGCCACATGGGACGATGCCGCAGACATGCCCGGAGATGTTACCATTGGAGCAACAGTTGCTGACGCTGTGTTAGAATACGGTGCATCAGATAGTATAACGTGGACAGCTGTATTTCCAGTTTCTGATGGTAGGGAATATACACAAGTGAAACTAGGAGACTGTGTGGATGGAACAGATTTTTTTACGTTTCTGTCTACGAGTACATCAGGCGAATGTACCGACAAACTTGCCGTAGGTATCAAGGCCGTCGACATGGATAATTGCAATTTTGCGAGAGAAGCGGTTTCCTATAACGGAAAAGAGTATTGGAATATGTCTAGTGTTCTCGAATTTACCTACACTGATCCTACTGCCGCCGGTGGCGAGGATTTCGACCGTTCTGTGACTACCGTATTCGCAGTACATGCACTCTTCGAAAGTCGATTTGAAGCTACTGTAGCGGACATTGCAGTCTATTCTAACTTTGAAATGGTGACAGCGATCACATTGCAAGCCATCACAGAAGGACAAGCCTCCTCATTCGTTGAATTGACGTACGGTCTATCGCATCCATATCAAGTACAGACGATACAAGGGGGACTCACTGTCACCGGTGGATCTAATACTGCCACACTGCGTACTGAGGCCGATGGCGGGGGTACGGCTGTTACAGGACTGAACTTATGGACGGCGCCAGAGTGTGAAGCCGGGCAGTACAACAATAACAACAACCAATGTCTGAAGACAGCCTACGTGGAGATCTTACACGGCCAATGCACACTGGCTGGTGCCTATACGCTCGAAGCGGTTACAATATACTGTTTGGACTCTCTTCCAGTGCGAGATTGCCCCCTTGCAGCTCCCGATTCCGACACCACTATCACCTTCAATTTGGACAGTGCCGACTTCTGTGACGGTAACGAGCCTTCGGTTACCAGAATCGACTCCGCTGTTGCAATTGACCGCTTTATCTTTGTCGATCCCGAGAACCGTATCCGAGGCGAAGGAGCTTGGTTATATGTAGACGATAACGGTGTGACTCAGAACAAGCCGTCCGCAGATACCGCCATTGAATCCTTGCTGTGGGGGGGCACTGTATTTGCACGAGTCGATTTCAGCGGTCTTGCTGTCACCGATGTACAGGTGCAGACCACTGAAACCAAGCTGGGAGATGATCCGTATGTGGCTATTCCCACCGATTTCACCATTGCAGGGGCTGTTGTTCCGGGTACTGACTTCGTCATCAACAGAGATCCGGTACAAGACTTCACAGGTAAGTGTGCCACCCTGGGCTTCTGCGCTCTAGATCAGACAGTCCTGCTTAAGCACACTGTGGGCGCAGGTATGCACGCCGGCCTCACAGCAGACGTTGGCTTGGGAGTATTCGAAACAATGACGGTGCGAATAGTGCTGGATGTCACGTACGAAACGGACCAGACCTTCTCGGCGCGGAGGCGACGCCGCCAGGCATCAGCCGATGGCGAGCCAGCCCCACCCACACGCACAGATGGCAATGGCGCAGGTATGGTCACCACACCACCTGTGGCTATAAGCGCGTCTGATGGCAGCACTGTGGCCAATATGGATGAAGGGGATAATGATAGTGCAGCGAGTGCGAGCACCACACCGTCCGTACTATTGGCTCTGGTGTGTGCCGTGGCGGGGTTTATGAGTAGCTGAGCAGTATGGGACGGCATCAGACTCATCCCCTCAGATCAAATCAGATGGGCTGAAATCATGAAGGTTACCAGCCCTGTACATAAATTACACACATTTATATATATATACATGCATCGAATCGATGTATTGACTTTGATGAATTGATTCATGGCAACTGTACAGTAGTTCAGAGTACTTTGACCAATAAACTAGATTTCAAACCGCCTGTTTCGTAAACTTCTTCACGGCGATAGAGTCACATACGCATGCACGACTACAAAAGTAGTATTGGTTGATGACCTGAAGGTCAAATATTGGATTTGGGATGGAGTGCAAAAGGGATTAGCACACTATCCGGCCATGAATCAGTATGTCCTATAGTACTATCAAGGCGACTATCTTATCACAATAAATCGATTGATTGCCTAAGCTCGATATGACTTTCAAGCTTACTTCGACTGCCATATAAACACATTTATTGGTTCGGGGCCAATGCCACTACATTGAAGTTGACATTTCCTTTGCTGCGGTCCATGTAGCCCTGTATAACCTTGACGGTATCCTACAGTAGAACACGTGGTACAGTACGATGAACGTCAGACAGTGTGATGGCAACTGTACAACAACACGAAGTGAGTATAATATACTATACTTATCACACAATCATCTCGTAAGGAATATATTTCCTAGTTAACTTGGTACGTAGATTAGAATTCAGCCAGCCTTGAGCGCATGAGGGCTTGCAAAGATTGCATGCTATTGATAAATATGTTCATCAGTACTGACTTGATATTCAAAAATCACACCTACCTGCAACAACGTAGTATCAGAACTCTTCCCATGGTTGATAGGGTAGTCCTTGCGGCCATCGAGCTCTAATAACACACCGTCCACCTCAACGAACGCCACGAAGTGCAAGAGCACAACCGCATCCAATTCCGGGGGCTAAAGGTAAATAGATGATGTATTGAGGTTGTGAAACTATTAATACTGTATAATACTAGAGCAAATTTACATTACACATTCACAACACGAAGTCACTGCGGAGTCCTCTACAAGGGGATATAGATATCGCATACAAATAGTCCAAAAGCACAGTCATATATGTATATATATATATATGTATGTATGTATGCATGCATGTATGTATGCATGTATGTAGGTATGTATGTATGTATGTATGTATGTATGTATGTATGTATGTATGTATGTATGTATACATGCATGTATGTATGTATGCATGTATGTATGTATGTACGTATGTATGTACGTACGTATGTATGTATGTATGTGTGTATGTATGTATGTATGTATGTATGTATGTATGTATGTGTGTATGTATGTATGTATGTATGTATGTATATATGTATATATGTATGTATGTATGTATGTATGTATGTAAGTAAGTATGTATATATGTATGTATGTATGGTAAATAGATGACGTATTGAGGTTGTGAAACTATTAATACTGTATAATACTAGAGCAAATTTACATTACACATTCACAACACGAA